TATTCTACACCTTCTCATTTACTATCAAGTCTTTTAAAGCAATATTGAGAAATAATCTGAGGTTTGAAGTGAAAAAGCAATACCGTTTTTGAATAGCTGTGAATTCATGCAGAGAAAATCTCTTGGTATGAAAGAGTATTGATTAGAAAGCTTTAATGGAATACTTTCATTTTACTCTAACAATTAAGTTCAATTTTATTATAAAAATAACGAGATATTTTAAAAAAACTTCATGTGACACGAATTTCGAATTTATTTTCACATATTAATATAGAAAAGCAGCCTCAGGGAAATGTCACACGACTATAACATAATTATTATTGGAACTTGGTGTTGTACAAGGATTTTTTTTTTTTGGAAAAACAATCTATTTGAGTTCAAGGTGACAAAACGTGGTTTTCCTAAAGACATGTTAATAACTAACCAGAGGTATATACTATTTTTTGTTTGTATTGATATACAGTATATATATTTTTACTTTTTTTGATAGTCTTTTAGCTCATAAATATTTTAATTGGAATCAAAACGTGGAGCAGATCTTGCTGGGTAATTATGATAATAAATAATTGGTATTTTGCTTTGCGTAATCGTAATAATAATACTATTATTAATATATAATTACAAGAAGATGTCAAGGAATACACTGTTGAAAAAGAAACAATTCAAATATGCGACATTTGATTATCGGAAATTTTATAGATGTTGAAGCATGCATGCTACCTTTACAGTCATTCTCACACGTTCCTCGTGTACATAAGGCTAATCTGACCAAGATTTCCATGATGATATGATGATGGTTAATTCCAGGGGGGGGCGCATGGCCCTGGAGTTATCAAGACTGCATCAATTGTCAATGATGTTTTCACTAATCTTTCCTCACAGCACCAGACTAGAGAAGGCTGCTGGCATGCTGAATGAAAAATTGCCTGTAACGATCCTACTCTAGGGTAAGGATGGCACTGTGTCCAAGTTGCAACTCTGCAGCATTTTGAAGAGTTGTGATATTAGGTGTGCATAAACATCCAGATCATCAAAGAAATGAGAATCTGCAACTCATTCCAATTACAATCTAGAGCAGGGCTTTTGGCCCTGAAATTGCATTTGGACTCTGATGTTAAGAGGAAAGTTGTAAAATAGTGTTTGTTTTATATAATCATTTTCCTAAATGTCCTGTTTTTTTTGATACTAACCAATTTATAATTTTGGGTATGTATAGATTAAAATTAT